TTTTTTGCGTTTGCTTTGCTTCATTGCAATTGCAACCGAGCTCAATAGGATCAGAAACGGTTTCAAGTGGGAATGATGGTCATATAACCCAATCAGCAATTTGCTTTAAATCATCATAGTGGGAACGAGGCCAAAAACTGCAGCTTTTGAAGACCGTTTGCAACTTAGGACTTATTCGGTATAGAATCCACATTTGTGTGTGTGGAGAAAACATCATTTTCTGAACAGAAAACTTGATTTTCTGTTAGCCCTCTGTCATCTTTTTCCTAAAGTATTTCTTCCTGAGTAGAAATCAATGTTTTCTGTGTAAGAAACCTGTTTCTGCACAAGAAATCCCATTTTCTCTGCAAAAATTCTTCTGTCATGCTCTAGCCTGGAGTTACCGACCCTAAAGGTGGCCCTATTATAGGGTTTTCTTGGCAAGATTTGTTCAGAGAGGGTTTGCATTTGCCTTCCTCTGAGGCTGAGAGAGAGTGACTTGCCCAAGATCACCCTTGGGTTTCCCTAAGTGGGCTTCCATGACTGTGAGGAATCGAACCCTGGTCTCCAGAACTGTAATCCAATGCATACATAGGTCAATCCAGAAATAGGAAGGAAGGAAGGAAGGAAGGAAAGAAGGAGAAGGAAGAGAATACAAAAGAGAATGACAACAAATGGAGGAGTAAGGGAGACAGAGTCTGGGAGAAAGGCGGCATAGAAATAAAATAAAATAAATTAATATATGAATAAGTTGGGACCTCACCAGTGACCCACAGCTATGGGGCCTCATTTGGTTCCAGTATTTGCCAGAGAGACAGCATGATGGTTTGAGCATTGGACTATGACTCTGGAGACCAGGGTTCAAATCCCTGCTCAGCCGTCTCCTTCTCCACTGGGCAACCTTGGGGGCAAGTCACACTCTCTCAGCATCAAAAGAAGACAAAGGCATATCACCTCTGAATAAATCTTGCCAAGAAAACTCTGCAATAGAGTCACTTTAGGGTCGCCATAAGTTGGAAACAACTTGAAAGCACACAGTGGCAGCAACAACTTTAGCTGTGTACCTTTTTAGAAATATTTGGTATTTTAATACATCCAAAACCAAATAAAGACTTGGAATTTTTGGAAGCTGTGGTTTAGGGAGGGGCATTTAGACTTCTCAGCAGAGAGTTCCAGCGTCTCACCAAACTATAAACCTCAGGACTCCATAGTATAGAACTATGGCTGCTAAACTGGAGTAGTAGTGCTATAACTATGTAATGTGAATGACCCTCTGATCTAACACTCAGGCCATTGCACCGCACTGGTTTTCTTGTCAGCAAAATCAATGTCTGAAGTTCCCCTTTGCAAATCCAACTTTGGAATAGTGTCACTGTTTTGCTGAGAGCCAGCATGGCATTAGTGGTTTGAGAATTGGGCTACGACTTTGGAGACCAAAGATGCAAAGGGATCTTGTAGCACCTTTGAGACTAACTGAAAGGAAGAAGTTGGTAGCAGGAGCTTTTGCAGTCTTGAAGTAGGTGTCTGTCTATGAAAAGCTCATGCTACGAAAACTCATGCTACCAACTTTTTTCTTTCTTTCAGTCAGTCTCAAAGGTGATGCAAGATCCCTTTACGTACTGATTTTCCAGACTGACACAGCTATGCCTTTGAATTCTACCACTCTGGAGACCAGGGTTTGATTCCCAGCTCAGCCCTGAAACCCACTGGGTGACCTTGGGAAGTTACACTCTCTCAGCCCCAGGGGAAAGTAATGGCAAAGCCTCCTTTGAACAAAGCCTCCTCTGAACAACAACCCCAGGATAGGTTTCCCTTAGGGTCTCCATAAGTTGGAAATGACTTGAAGGCATACAACACATACCCACAGTGTTTTGTTGTCGTTGTTGTTGTCCGTGTGCATTTGGAGGAAGCAAATCTTTGTTCTGACAGTAACCTGTCCATGAAAGGGATTGCCCTCCAAAGAGATGCCCAGCATGGCTCCGGTAAGGAGGGAAGCCAAGGATATCTGGAGCCGTTCCCGCTTCTAACCAGTTCCACCTGTTGCCGAGACTGTGGGCACCCTTGGCTAATTTTGATCCATCTGTACATCTAATTCCAAGCCCTTTCCCCCTCCCAATACTCTTATTTGTTTAGATTGCTTTTCCAGGCTCCTTTCTGGGAACCCAAGACGTGTCTTATAACCACTCCACTCCCCGAGCTGGTTGCCCTTTCGTTAATCTTCCTATCTGGACGAATTATTTCTCTTGATGGTCCATTTATCAGGCTCGTGTTTGTTCGCTCTCTGATGCACTTCCAAAACAGAAAAAGAAAATAAGATCCAGACAACTTACCCCAACCCTCCCTGAACCATCCACTATTCATTAGTCCTTGTTATTGCTAAAACACACACTTTGCCAGAGACTGAACCAGGTTGGCTCTCTTGGGCTGCTGAGTCTCCTGGTCATCTTTCTTGGCTTTGCTGCCGTTCTTTCGACCCACTTCCAAATCCACCCCCCCTCTTTTGAATCCTTTGCTCAAGAAGACTTGCTAAATTTAGAGGAAACAGAGGGCCAGTCCAGACCAGCATGGCACACTTTGGTACCTAACATAGTTAGAAGAACCTTATTTATCATAGAATCATAGAGTTGGAGGAGACCTCAAGGGGCATCCAATCCAACCCCATTCTGCCATGTAGGAAGAAGCAAAACCTTCCCTGGGACAGATGGCCATCCAGCCTCTGTTTGAAAATCTCCAAAGAAGGAGACTCCAACAATGCCTCCATCTTCCACTCTTGAACAGCTCTTACCATAAGGACATTCTTCTTAATGTTGAGGTGGAATCTCTTTTCCTGTAGCTTCCATCCATTGAGGCTCATTGTGTCCTATTCTCTGGAGCAGCAGAAAACAAGCTAGCTCCCTCCTCATTATGACATCCCTCCCAAATATTTAAACATGGCCATCATGTCTCCTCTTAACCTTCTCTTCTCCAGGCTAAACAGACCCAGCTCCTTCAGTTGCTCTTCAGAGGGCTTTATGGTTTCCAGACCTTTTGCCATTTTGGTCACCCTCCTTTGGACACACTCCAGTTTCTCCACATCCTTTTTGAATTGTGGTGGCCAGAACTGGACACAGGATTATTCCAGATGAAGCCTGACCAAAGCAGAAGAGAATGGTACTATGATTTTTCTCGATCTAGACACTATACTTCTATTGATGCAGCCTAGAATCGCAAAACAAAAAGGAAGCACGGCTGTGTGGCCCATGAACAAAATGAAAACACTGACTTGGGCAATGCCTTTAAGCTCACTTTTTAAAACAGTATTTTAGTGGTCCAACAAAAAGCATCCTCGCATTACACACAGAGATGGAAAGACCTCACAATACCTTCATGGGAAGGTTGGTTGGTAGAATAACACGATATAGCTGAAATGGATAAGCTTGAGAAGACCTTGGAGAACTATAAGAAAGAGTGGGAGATGCTCATTGACTACATGAAAAAAGGGAGGTGTTGTAATGACCGTAGGGTTTTAAGAGTAATATACCAAGTAGACCCAGTAAGGTGAAGTGGTTCAAGTGACTGTGACTCTGGAGAACAGGGTTTGATTCCTTGCTCAATTAAAAATGCCTGTTGGGTGACCTTGGGCAACTCACACTCTCTCAGCCTCAGGCAAAGGCAATGACCAAACTCCTCCGAACAAATCATGCCAAGAAAACCCCATGAGAGGTTTGCCTTAGGATCACCATAAGTTAGAAATGAATTGAAGGCATACGACAACAACAATACCAAGTAGAGCATTGTTTTCCTTTTTCATAAAATGTATTAGAGGTTTATTAAGCTCTAAGTAAGGACTTTTAGTTAGCCACAACAGACTAGTTTACTTGTTGCTTTAACTCTGGAATAAACTGAAGCGAACTAGATAAGTAATTTTGAAGAATCATCATCAGGTGGCTTGGGAACTTTAATAGGATCCTAGAGTTGGAAGAGACCCCAAACGGTTATCCAGTCCAACCCCCTTATGCCAGGCAGAAATCCACCATCCAAGACCTCTGCATGACAGATGGCCATCCAGCCTCTGTTTCAAGACCTCCAAAGAAGGAGACTCCATTGAGGCAGCAGCATCTTCCACTGACAGACAGCTCTTACCATCCGGAGGTTCTTCCTAATGGAACCTCTTTTCCTATAGTTTGTATTCATTGCTCCTACTCTCTGGAGCAGTGGAAGAGGCTGCCTCAATGGAAGGTGGTGGAGTCTCCTTCTTTGGAGGTTTTTAAACAGGGGCTGGGTGGTCATCTGTCACAGGGTGTCCCTTGATGGTGTCTTCCTGCATAGCAGAAGGAGGTTGGATTGGATGGCCCTTGGGGTCCCTTCCAACTCTAGGATTCTAGGGTTCTCTAAGTCTGGTTGGCATTCCAGTTGAGTAAGACAGACCATTAATTGAGTAAGAGAGACCATCGAATCTGGGAGCTGGAAGGGTTCCCAAGGGCCAGTTAGTCCCACCTCCTGCCAGGCAGGAATCCATTTCGTAAAGCATCTTTGAGAAATGGCCATCCAACAACTGATTGAAATACTCCAAAGAAGGAGAGTTGGTCACAGTGGTTCCCAAACTTTGGTCCTCCAGATGTTTTGGACTTCAGCTCCCAGAATTCCTGATTATTGGCCAAGCTGGCTAGGGCTTCTGGGAGTTGAAGTCCAAAAGACTTGGAGGACCAAAGTTTGGGAAACACTGGACCATCTTCCAACACTGCCAACAATGTGCTCCTAGAAATAGGTTTCTTCATGGTAACATGGAAAAGCATGATTCCTCGCTCCCCCCATGTTAGCTGCAGCCAAGTCAATCTTTTAAGGAAATTGGACGGATACTATAATAAACCACACAATTAGAGTTAGCAGTTGCGGCATGTGAAGGATGCTAATTGCAGCAATGAATATGTGCATAGGAGCTGTAACTCTCTCCATCTTTGCATTTCTTTGCCTCCTGGGCTTCCCCATCCCTGCCTCTGAGGAACTGCTGACCTCTGTGTGGAAGAGGTTCCTTTTGCATATCTGCAATAAGGAGGCGATTCTCTGAGGGTGGGAAGGGAGCTGGTCATGGAGAGCATGTCTCTCGGTGTGTATGCCTGTGGAAATCTCTGCCTGTGCACACAGGCCCAGCTGCATCCTCCCTCAGTGAGAGTGGCCTACCTGGTGGGGTGGCGTTTGGAGGCCTCTCAACACCTGTGGGAGGGTTCCCTGCCGCTACCATCTGGGAAACAAAGGTGAAGCAGCCAACAAGATGAGGCAGGGTGGTAGAAGGGCTGAAGTTCACGCTGGAGGTGTGGAGCCGGAGAAGGTTATGCAATGGCTTCCTTGTCAACAAGCTTGTGTAACCCTTGAGGAGCAAGGAACCGTGTGGCAAGGAAGGAGCACACCTTCTGAACTACATTGGAATTCCATGTTCCTCTGCCACTTTTATGAAGGACAGAACCTGGGCTGGTTGGGTGGCTCCCGTATCCTTTGGAGAAGTGACTCTGCTCTGGGTCTTAATCCAAACTTTAAAGGCATGGTCTAAGGTTCCAAACTCCAACTCCAAAGTGGGCTGAACACCTGGACAATTGCTTTAAAAATTGAACTATACCTTAGAGTGGGAGTCCCAGGCTGCCACGCTCTCCAGTGGCTCAGAACCAGTGCTTGGAAAAGTGACTTTTTTGGAATAGACTTCCCAGAATCCCCCTGCCATGACATGGCTGGTGGCGCCCATGTTAGTGAGGTGGTGACTCCACTTCACATTGTAGTCCAGACCAGAGCTATCCAAGGTGGTGACCGTACTCTCCCCCATTGGTTCAGCACCATGGATAGCTCAGATGCAAATGCAGAGTGGATTCACCCTCCACTGACATGGGACCCATCACTTTCCCCCCACCT